ACATTCGTTCTGAGAATATATACCAAAGACTGGCGTATGCTCTTACCTCACTGGGGCAAGAGCCATAACAGCAAAGAAGAAGAAAGAAGTATTCCACTAAGCCATTTTTGCACCAAACCAAACCTACTATAACAAGTGTACTATAACAAAAAAGAAAAACATGACATAATTGACAATAATAATATTTTTTCAATCTTCGAAAATTTTGGTGTAGAACTTTTCTTTGCTAATTTGATAACCTAAACCATTACTTTTATTAAATATTACCATATAAAATAAAAATAATTATACCATCAATTATTATACTATATAAAATAAAAATAAACTTAAAATAGAAGCAAAGAATATACAAATATATATTCTTTAATTGAAGGTTATGGCCTCTCATTGAAGACCAGTATTTATAACTTATTATAAATCTCCATTATTAATAAGGAAAATCTATAATCTCTGGTTTGGTTTAGTGCAAAAATGGTTCAGTGGACCGAAAGTCTATAATCTCTACTTGCTTCATGGACATAGGAATATAGGGACGGAGCATCGAGTTGCGTGCATATATGTAATACTGCTATATTGCTAGTCGCGTATCTTCGCAATGAGAGGCACGAGGCCCGAGAAAGGGAGACGCACGAAGTCCAAATATGGGCATAGATGGTCGAGCGTCATTATACGCAGGCACATCTACCAAGTGAGTGCGAGCGAGACAAAACATTGGAATGTGAGAGAAAGAACGCGAGAAAGAGAAATGCGCAAGCGTGCTTGAATGTTCACCGCATGCGCACAAAGCAGCTGGAGAGAGAGGCTACTATATTGTCTGCACCGTAACGGTGAGCTTCAGGTCGGCACCGTACTAGCAATATAGGAGTATTACATATATGGTTGCGTGGGTGAAGCCACTGCGGGGAGGTGCGACGAGGTAACATGTGCCTAAATATTGGTTGTTGTTGTGCGCAAGCGCAATGACATACTTGAATTGTACGAAAGCAAAGAGAGCGGGGAAAAGGATACGCAAATTAACATATATTCAATGCATAATACATTTACGATATAAATAAATAATTATGGTGCTGTGCTGTGTCCCAAATTGTCGCAATAGGTCAGACAATCAAAATTAGAAACAAACTACCAATACAAACAGAAATAAGAAAATTACATTTTACAGGTAATAAATTTGTGTTTTTTTAAAATAATAGTAGTCTAGTTTTAGAAAAGGTATTTGATATTTTATTTGTATTCACATTTAGTTTTCCAAAAAATAATACTCGCAACTTGTGGAAAATAGTATTATTTTATAATATATATGTTGTTGTTTTATAATATATATTTTGTATTGTTTTATAATATATATTGTTGTTTTATAATATATGTATTATAATATACGTATTAGTAAATTTATAATAATATAATATATATATATATATATAAGAGATATATCAGATATATCAGATATATCAGATATATCAGATATATCTTATAATAGTTACCTTTACGAAAAAAACTACTGGCAGTAATATAGTGCGGCAGTGGTACAAAAAAATTACTGGCATTCTGCGTAATTGCCAGTAATATTCTCAGTGATTCCTGTAATACCTAATAATATTTTTATGTGATTGTCAGTAACATTTATATTACTGACTTTATTTATATGTATAATTGGCAGTAGTTCTTTTTCGTAAGAGTATTTACTGTCTTTTTTATCTTTTATTTACTGCAACTATTAACATTATATTAATTTATGTGTCCTATTGTAAAATTTATTGTATTTTTTTTCTTTTTAACTTACAAACGAATATGTTGATTTTATAACACAAATATATACAATATTTTTATAAAATATATATATGTATAACATTTATTTTAAGTGTTAATTAACATTATAACAGAATAGCTTTTATTCTTTTTATATTAATTATGTTTATTCTTTTTATATTAATTATTTGCTGACGATTGCCAAATAACTTGTAATCCAAATTGCTGCGTAAGATAATTTGAAATCTGTCAACCATCTGAAAGGTTAAGCACTATTGAGCATGTGCACAATCGTAGCCAATAAAAATAGGCACAACTGCCCCCCGCATTTCGGCTTCACTCCCCTCGCCTATATTCTGGGTCTATGCTCCGTCCCTATATTCCTATGTCCATGACTCGCTTACAGCCAATTTTTTCACTTCTACATAAGTTTTCGATAACTTTATCTAGAAGATATCTTCCAAAATTGGTTCTCCTTATTGGTTCTCAGAGGAATTTATCCAGAGGATAGCTATATCGAGAGGTATGAAGAAATCGGCCGTTAGTCATGAAACACTGAATTTCATGATTGGCCCCTGCATTGAAATTTTGAGGTTGGAAATTCGAGACCTGGGTACCGATTGTGTATTTATGCGAAGTAGTGAAAATTACAAAAGTGAGAAAATTTACTAAAATATCTGTGATTTTATTAGTCGACAACTAGTAAACTTTCTCACTTTTGTAATTTTCACTACTTCGCATAAATACACAATCGGTACCCTGAGAGCTGAAATTTGAGATTGGAGACGAGATCTAAGATTTGAGAAGCGACTATGAATTCGGGCCTATGTCTTTTTGATAACAGGTTTAAAACCGTGGATTGGGTTCCTGACGCCAAACCACGAAGTTGTATATTTGTTTAAATTAAAGATAATAATAAAGAAAATGGTGTAAAACACCAAAAATGTGGTGTAAAACACTGACAATTGTCCAAAAATATTCACAGCGTAACTATAATATGGAACGCGCCTTGGGCTGTGTTCAGTTAAGCAAGATGGAACGAACTAATGCAGGAAATGCAGGAAATACAGGAATTGGAACTAATGAAACTAATGAAACTAATGAAAGAAGTGAA